CTTGGTCCCCAGTTGGTAGAACTGTTTGGGAAGGATTAAGAGCTGTGGTCTTTTGGGAGGAGAGTTGTCACTGAGGGTTTTGAGGTTTCAAAAGCCCACACCATTTCCAGTTAGCTCCTCTTCTCATGTTCTCTCTCATTCATATATTTTCTCTCTCTTCCTCCTCCTCCTCCTTTTCCTTCTTCTTTTTCCTCCCCATACCCCTGCCTCATGTTTAGGATCAGATGTAAGTGCTCAGCTACTGCCCCTGCACCATGCTTGCCTGCCTGCCTGCTGCCATGTTCACCACCATGATACAAATACCCTACCCTCTGGAACTATGAGCCTCAAATTAAATGCTTTCTTGTATGTTACTGGGGCTCAATGGCCAGCCAATCTAGCTTAACTGGAAGGTCCCAGAGCAGTGAAAGACCCTGTCTCAAAGAAGATAAATGGTGTTCCTGAGGATGACACCAGAGGTTGTCTGTTCACTGGCCTACACACACACACATGCACACACACGCGCGCGCACACACACACACACACACACACACACACACACACACAAATTAAATAAATGGTGGGGGCTAGTAATGTAGCACAGTTGATAGAGTGCTTGCCTAGCCTGTACCAAGTCCCTGCATTCAACTCCCAGTAATGCAAAAAAATACATAAGAAAAAAAAAGTGGGCCTTTCCTACTTACCAGCTTTTAAAAAAGAAAAAAAAAAAAAAAAAAAAAAAAAAAAGGTTTTTAATAAAGCCCAAGCATGTAGGCTTAGATGGGATTTTGTTGTTTTTAATACGTACAGGTGTTTTGTCTGAAAAAATGTCTGTGTACCACATGTGTGCCTGGTACCTACCTACCTAAAACTCTGTCAGATCCCTCTGGAACTAGAGTTACAGATGGTTGTGAATCCTCATATTGGTGCCAGAAATTGAACCCAGGTCCTCTTAACCACTGAGCCATCTCTCTAGCTTCCAAATGTGTTTTTAAGAGCAGTAAGCTTTCTGAAATGACTGGTTGGGATTTAAGCAAGGTTCATAAAATCTCTAACACTGTTTCTAAAATCTCATTATCTATATACATTTTGGAGTGATGGGGTATCATTTGTAGAAAAAGAAACACTGGCCCACAGCTTTTTACAGACCTTAAAAGAACAGATTTTCCCCAGCCCCTAAAAAGTTTAAAAACCACTACCCAACCTGACATGACTGTATATACCAGTAAATCCCACAAATCAGGAGGTAGAAGAAGGAGGATTAGAAACTCAAGGAAAGCTTTGCCTACACAGTAAGTCCAGACTGGCCTATATTTCATGAGCCCCTAAATAAATAAATAAATAAAAATAAAAAATAAAAATCCTACTGACCCCTGGGTTAGTTTAGGAGATTAGCAGACTAGGCAATTTATCTCAACACAACATTAAATATTTGATTTCTGAAGCCAATCAAACATAGTTTGTCTTCCAGCTCAGCAAGTCTCAGAATTCTTTCCTGTTCTCCTCAAGGGTATAGGAAAAGTAAAGGGGGATCAGACATGAAAACACTTAGGTGTGCTTAACATACAGCATAAACTTTTATAACAATGTTACCACTAACCAAAATGTACTGCAGAATACAGAGTGTTTAGCAGCCCAGCCTTTTACTAGCAGGTATTTGAAACACTGATAAAACCATTCTGTAACTTAAAACTGATACACTTCAAATTTGCTACTGTTCTCTGTGAGGGACACAATGTAGCACAAGTTTAACCACCACAGGCAGAAGAATACTGCATCTGTCCTTACCTGCATCACCACCCTGTCCTATCTATCTCATCACCAGCACAAGACAAGATCAAAAGCATCATGACCCTATGGCCCTATGTATTTACTTACATCATGAACTATGAGTTGCAGGTCAATAACCACCATGCCTTGTTTGGGGATAATGCTGTGCATTTAAGGCACTTTATCCATTTGATGTCAATCAGAACTCATTCAGCTATAGAATGTATTTTGTTACTTTTGCTATCTCCTTGTATACCCCTCTCCCAAAAGAGGGGGGACTAGAAGAAACTGAAACTGACAAGGTCCTGAGGTCACATATCTTTTATATATATACGTAAATATGTGTGTCTTTTTATTCTTTCTCATTAAAATTGACATTAAATTACTCATTTTTTAGCAACTGCAGGCTTAAGAAGAGAAAAAAATAATCTCAAATTACTTTACAGGAAATCTCAGTGCAATTTAAATGCATATGCACACCAAAAAAAAAAAAAATGAGCAGGCACACAAAACTCTATTATATAGTTACCAACTGATGATCTGAGGTTTTAAAACACACATGAGCAAAACAACAACAACAACAAAAACCCTCAACTATTTCATATACTTTTCTTTCATGCCTGTAGTTACTTATTTGACAAATAAGACTTGTCTTTAAAAGGGAGATTTATAAGAGAAAATACAAGGAATCACTTTTTAAAGGATAAACAAGCTCATCCTCACAGCTGGCCCAAGAGTCACTCATTTTCTTTGTCATTATAGAACTGTTAACATTGAGTAAAGATCAATTAACATTGGTCAGAATGTTCACTAAATCTCAGGAAGACATTAAGTCACAGAAATCTGGCATTCAAGGATATCTAGTCAGTTCTGGGAGAAGCTAATGTTAGCTCAGTATGGCACTGGAATTCAAAAACAAACATACCTGCAGCCTCAAAAACTCTGAAAGAAGACAGAACTTACAGATCAAGCTACCTGTGTGAAAAGCTCAAAATTCACCCACAACTTCACAAATAGGCTAGAAGATAGTTTAAGAAAGGCCTCTGCAATAAATCATAAACTGAAAAAAGCAAATAGTCAAAATGATACTTGAAGACCATGATCACCTACCTCTGTGGTACACAGAAGCAGGCTTCTTCCCAAATAAATAAATAAACAAACAAACATGGACAGGGTACCTACCCTCAAGGACAGAATACATAGGTATACCTACTACAGGGCCAGATGTCTGGGTGCACAGAGGTTCAGAACTAGTTTGGGATTCCCTTGCTTCTGGTAATTCTGTTCCCCTGTAAACATTACATATTAGATCTTCCCTGCTCAGACTGTTGGGTTTTATCTCGCAAAGTAACCCAAGTCTGCACAGAAAGCTTCACATCACAGCAGCAGGACCAGACAACTCTGCTCTTAACCCAGCTGAGGCACAAGACTGCACACACTTCAGCTTAATGAAAACATGCAAGAAAGCTGGCAGCCTGCTTCCTTCTAACTAGGAATTTAGGGACATACCAAGTGTTCGTGACACCAAGAAATGCATGAAGCAAAGAAAGCTTACATCATCTGCCCTTCTAGACCCATGATGTAAGGGTGATTTTAGAGAAGATATTAACTTTAGTAAGAAGGTAGTTTCTGTTTACATCCTCTATAAATACCCCTACATTTACACCAGGTGGTTAGAGAAGTCTGAGGAGCCTCGTTTGCCTGATGTATGACTGTTAAAGGGACATTTCTTTACAAAACCCTAAATCGCTTTTCCTATTTGCATATCCCAAGTTTATTCAAGGATGCTCAACTTAAGAATCACAGGTGGGATGCTCAGTAAATCAAAGGCTCCCAGAAGATTAGGCTCTGTGATGCTTCCTGGAATTTACCGCTGCACTTTCCCAGCCTGTTTGAATGCAGATGACTCCAACTTGATCATAAAGTTATAAATCAAAGTATCTCGGAAGAGCATTAGTCTATTTTAGTACTTTCACAGCTTACTCTATGTAAAATGAAGTGTTGATTCTATACTTTTTTTAAGCATGGGTTTGTTTTGTTTTGTTTTTTCAGTGAATGCCATCGGCTTTATAGAAAAATACAAAATACTGTGTAATCTAATTTGGGCTAACAAATTCTAGCTGTTGTAAGAAACAAAAGCATAAGACATACAAGCCAAAACGCACCCTTGCTTAAAATCACACACACACACACACACACACACACACACACACACACACACACACACTCCTTGGCCAAATGATTAACTAAATCACTTAATAATAGGCCAGCTTTAATCAAACAACAGGCAAATGGAACCAGTTGGACCTCAGTTCCAGTGCTGTCTCAGATTAGGGGGGTGTGACCTTGGACAAACTACCCCAATCCTTCCAGGCCTCAGTTTCTTCATCTAGGAAGACTGCAGATTGCTTCTCCTTTGTCCAGCTGCAAAAAGAGGACGGCTGCGAAGCCCTTCCAGTAGTGCCAGGGCACACAGGCAGTCCCTATGCCCGAAAACGTTCGCTGGGTACCGATGACCGCCCCCCCGCCCCCACGTCTCTTCCATCCCAAATCCAAAACGCACGAGGCCGAACTCTTTTAACCCACAACACAAAGAAAGTGCTTGGATTCCACAGAGGTGTCTGGGACGGCAGGCTGCGGGCCCTCCAGTTCCTCCAATGAATGAATGAGCGTCTAGCAGTGGCTGGGCAAGTAACTGTGTCTAACGAGCACCTCTGCCGACTTGAAGGTAACTGTCTTCCAGCATCAATTAAATACCCACAAGCACACCCGGAGCCAAGCACTCGGGCCGTGCACACTCTCACCGAGAGAGCGGGCGCTGGGCGGCCTTCATTCATTCTCCACCCCCAGCCCCGGCGACCGCTGTCGAGTCCCGGGCCGCGGCGGCCCCACCCCCAGGTCTCCCTGCTCGGCCCGGGGTCTCTGACTTGCGCCGCGCACCCCCGCGGGAGCTTGTCACCGTAACAAGCGAGGGGGGCGGGCGAGCGGGCCCACCACAGGCCCGAAGCTGCAGCCATCTGTCCCTTCGGACGGCCCAGGCCCGCCTCGGCTCCCCGGGGCCCCGCCAGCCCCAGCCGAGCCCCGCCGGAGCCAGCGCGCGAGGAAGGCGAGGGAGACGCTCCCTGAACCCCCTTCCCCGGACCCCCGACTCGGTCAACGGGCCCCGCAGCGCCCCTCAGCCTGAGGTCACGCTGCCAGGGCTGCCCCGAAAAGCCCTCAAGGAAAAGAGGGGGAAACATCCCCGTACTCACCCACCGTCTCCTCCCCCTCAGCTGTTTACCTCACAGTCCCTCCAGCCTACAGGGCGCCGCCATCTTGGACGCACAGCACCTCCCCCTGGCGTGAAGCGTCCCCAAACGGCGGAAGCCTCCGCTATGAAAAAGAGTCCCTATCCGGATCCCTCCTACGCTCCGAGCTTAATGCCAGACGACTGAATTCATCAGCATCTCCAGATGGGACAAGATATTCCACTTGTGACGATACAAGCTGGCTTGGAAAAATAACACCGAAAGCTACTTCTAATGTGGGGGCGGGGACGGCGGAAGGATCGCGACGGTGAGGCCCCACTGAGAGATCTTGTGACTCTGAAGGAGGCCGAAAGAAGGGCCGGCGCGGAGGGCGGAGCCACACGAGCAACCGAGGGGTGGGGCGGGGAGGGGCGGCCACGTGACGGTGACAGGCAGCGCACACTCGGGTGCAAGCATAGGCACAAACAAGCGGGCCGGCTAGGTGCAGTGAGGGCGCCGGCCCATCTGAGACAGGTGCCTCTACCTTTGGCACACCTGCCACCTTTGGGGTCTCCCAGTGTGCGTTCCTATTTCCCCAGGAGCCGCTGGGGTCGACGTGGATGGACGGCCTGTCAATCCCAGCAAAATCGAGGGGCAGCCTGCTTTTTTCCTTTGCAGAAGTGAATCTGTGGAGTGGCTTCACACCTAGTGACTTGTAGAGGCCAGCTCTAGTCAGAGGAGGCAGTTGTGAAGTCGATATAACCTTGATTTACTTGCACGCTGTGACATGTTGTCAAGTCTTTTCAAGCCTCCGTTTCTTCCTCTGACGTGGAGAGTTAAGGAAGCAAAGAGATCCAGCGTGTGAAGTACTTAACTGGGTCTCTTGCCTAATGAGTGCTCACTGGCACGGTATAATAAACAAAAGAGGGAGAAGAAGCCTAGCTGTAGTGAAAAGCTTTTTAGAGGAATATCAGAATGTATTTAATTTTTTATTTGCTTTTGTTTACATTGTTTTTATCATATTTATTTTTTTAGATTTCTTTATTGTTTTTTGAGACAGGGTTTCTCTGTGTAGCCCTGGCCATCCTGGAACTCAATCTATAGAGCAGACTGGCCTCGAACTCAGAGACTGGACTATCTCTGCCTGAGATTAAAGATGTGGGCCAGCACAGCCCCCTATTATTTTTTGTTTGTTTGGTTGGTTTGTTTTTCTTGTTATTGTATTTAAACTTACATAATGCGCACAGTGAAAGATGACAGGCAGGAGCTGGAGAGACTGCCCTGCGGTTAAGAGCATTTCCTGTTCTTATAGAGGACCAGGGCTAGGTTCCCAGAACACACATCGCAGCTCACAACCGCTTGTAACTCCAGTTCCAAGGGTCCCATGCCCTCTTCTGGCTTCCTTGGGAACCAGGCATGCACACCTGAACATACATACATGAAAGCTCTCATTCATATACTTAAGATGATGATAGGAGGGGGAGGGGGGGGAGAGGAGGAGGAGGGGTGAAAGGCATCCAAATCGAAATAGAAATGAAACTCAAAGTAGTTAAATGTGTAGAAATGAGCAACAACAACAACAAAAAGTATCGCAAGACTCGGTAGCACTACGGAAGTTTTCTTTACTCTGAGACAGAGTGTCAGGCTATGCAGCCCGGGCTAGTTTTGAACTAGAGATACTCTTGATTCAGCCCTCTAAACTACTTGGGTGACAGAAGTACACCACTGTCCTGTTAGCTTTCTGTGGCTGTGATTAAGACCGTGACCAAAAGCAGCTTGTGAAGGAAAGAGTTTACTTCATATTACAGCATACAGTCCGTCATGGAGAGAAGTCATGGCAGGAACTCCTGACAGGACCCTGGAGGAACAGTGCCCACTGGCTTGCTCTTACGGCTCCCTCAGCTTGGTATGTTATACAATCCAGGACCACTTGCTCAGGCAAGACACGACCCACAGTAAGATGAGCCCTCCAACATCAATTACAGGCCAACCTGATGGAGGCGTTTTCTCAATTTCGATGACCTCTTCCCAGATGATCCCAGTTTATGTCAAGTTGACATAAAAACTAGCCAGCACAACTGCTTACTCTCAGGTTGGATTTTACATAATTGTGAACTAGACTATAACGTTCCAGACACAGCACCAGAGAAACATGACCCTGGCAGCAAGAAAATGCTCGGTGAGTTGTGGGAATAAGTTTGGAGACTTACTGGGTCCCAATTCAAGACAGTCTGGGAGAAGAGAATGGGTGTATTAGTAGCCACACAGTGAGTGGGGGCTGTCGGGATGTTGGAGCCCTAAATGGGCTTTGCTAGGGCTAATGTTAGATGCCTGGTAGGGGTCCTCTGTGATGATCAGAAAAAAATGCATTCTTTCTAGGCCCCTGGCTGCGTGAGCAGAGTCCAGACTAGATTTCTCCTTTCTCGTTTACCTCCATCTCTCCCGGAGTTCTTTGAGCAGTCAACAGCCTTTATTACATGACGTCTGGGGTCACTGGGCTTCTTAGGAAGGCAGGAATGACGCCAGGGATGTCACTAGTCTCTACTGTCATAGAGGCAGGTGGAAGAAGTTCTAGCTACCAGCCAGACTTCCACTGTTACACTAAGCGGGCAAGCCTTAGTCTCCACCCACACAGCAAAGGGTGGAGGACTGATCCTGAGGGAGTGAGGGCAGATCCAGTAAGATGTTAAAATGCAGCAAGTGCATGCAGAGCCTCATTCGGTTTTTGTCAGGCTTGTCCATCCTGTGCTCACTGTGGGCAGAGCGTCCATCAGTCCTCAGATCTGCTCCACCAAATGCTAGATTCTTCAGCTACCCAAGCACAGGCCTCTGGGGAAGGTTCAGCGAAAGAGGGGAGGGGAGAGCTTGTAATTCTCTGTTTCACTGGTCCATAAGCTACTTCAGCAAAGTGGATTCTTGCCTCACAACCAGTGTGAGGCTTCAAGTATGCTCAGAGATTTCTAAGACCACCAGTGACTGGGAGACTTGCAGTGACTAAGGAGTGGGGTGGGGGAACCAGAAGGCCCCCCTCCCTGCCCTGCTTCCCTCAGCTTGCTGACCTCATGGGGCTGGAATGTTCTCCTAGGAAGAGGGGAGCAGTGAAGCACTGAATCCAGGATGCAGGCTCTCAAGAGAGGCTGTAGCCACATTGTTACTGTTTATCCAGTGTCTCGAAGAAGAATGGTAATTGTTACCAGGATTTGGACCACAGGGACTGCTGAGGGGAGGCCAAGAAGACAGGCAGAGATTGACAGCCTGGCCAGGAGATGGTTTACCAATCCCGGCTTTCCTAGATTGATTTTTATTACTGAAAAGCTGTTCATCAGACCATCTCTTTCCACACAGCACCCTAGAGCCTGCCTGTGGCAGGGGCTACCTAACCGTGCCCTGTGTGGGCAGATGGTGCTGATTTGGTGCCTAGGGCAGGCAGGCATCCATCTGTCACCTTGGTCTGAGCAGCATCTCTCCTCTCTTCGGGGGAGGTGAATTGCCCTTCCTCCTCTCTGCTTGTCCTGGTGACGCTGGCCATCACAGTGCATCCAGCCCTCCAAACACGATCAGGCCTCACTCACCAATGAAAGATCCTAGCATCTAGCTAAACTGATTGGCCCCTGGTTGAACATGTGACTGGAGCTCTTGTATGGAACTATTCTGCCAGCACAGCTGCCTTCTTTGTATGACCAGCTGTGCCTGCTTGTAAAAGACCACTCCACAGGGGCTGTGGACTTGGCATTCCTTCACAGGAGTGAGCAGAGAGGACCACTGAAGCCTCACCTGAGTATCTAGCCACTCTGTCCAGCCAGTTGGATGCAATTTACTCCAATTGCACATGGCTTGGGATCTCAGAGAAGGGTTAGAAAATGGAAGTGGGGACAACAATGGGAAAGGGGCTCCATCTACACAGGCATGGACGAGCCATCTTCCATGCTGGGTACAGACCTTCCATGATGGCTATTTTAGGGTTACCCACGCTTCTGCTTGTAACCCCTCACCCGTGCTCTTGTAAGCCTAGTAAATTCCTTGGTTCACTATGGTGAACTTCCAGTGGAGCCTGACTTTGGTTTGTGGTTGAGACTTTAGAAGGAGGGGTTAGGAAACATTGCTTACTCTCCCTCTCCCACCCCAAGGAGAAGATTCTCGTGAAGGAGTCTAACCAATAAAACTGCTTCCCTGGGGCTTTAAATACAGGGATGCTAAGGCATATTTTTCTCTTCTGTGTTGACGAAACCAGGACAAGGAGGCTGTGGCCTCTTGCTTTCTCTGTAGCATGTAGCAAGCTATCCAAGAATTCTGGCCTAAAAGATTCATCAAGGGCAAGGAGATCATTTTTGCCATGTAAGCATGAGAGTTTGCGTTCAACCCCAAAACCCACCTGAAAAAGCCAGGCATGGTGTTACAGCCTTGTGATCTCATCCCTTGGGAGGTGGAAGAGGGCTGGAGAGAAAGGCAACAAGGCCTGGTCCCTGTGGAGTTGGAGCCAGCCATAGTGCCTCGGCATCCTGGACAGCAGAGAGGAAGCCACCAAGAGTCTGGCTGGAGAGGACAACAGCCCTGAACCAAGAGCACAGATTTAGTGACAAGAGACCTGAAGTCCCACAGAGGAAGAACAGCTGTAGGACACAGGCCACTGACCATGAGGCATGGCTGTGTCTCCTGCGTAAGTGTGGATAATACAAATGTGTTTTTTCAGTCTGTTATTTTTATGACACTGGCTTCTGACAAGCATCTCAGGCTTCCTGTGACCAGGAATGTTGTCTTTACCTGGATCACATTTCCAAGACTCAGACTCCAAGTTGATGGCTATGGGGAGGTCTTTTCAGGACCTCAATGATAGTACAAGAGAAGGGCTCTTCTGAGCTTGCCCGCTCTGCCCATTCCACTTCTGTTTCTTCAGTCCAGCTCTGTACTCATGGAGAATGTGGTATGGGTCCATCTTCCACCGAATTTATCTGTTCTCCTGTTACTGGTCAGTGGGGCAACACCCTTTAAACATCTCAGCTCAAAGCAAAAACCTGGGGCAGGACTGGTGTAGTCAGACATTTCTCTCCTGCCCACCTGTCCCCAAATACCTGGCAGCCACTTCCCAAATAATTGACTCAGAAGCTTAATATAAATTATAAATGCTCAGGCTTATTAC